AAGGAGAACCTTGATGATGGTCAGCTTGTTGTCAATGGCAGTCAGTTTCACAGCAAGATCAGGATCACTTACGCTGTGATGGGAAACAGAGTCTTTGGTCTTGGGATCAGATTGAACATGCTTGACTTCACCTTCATGTTTCTTAACCCAGGAGCCCTTCAAACACACATATCCCATACTAGCAGACGCTCTAGAATTCTAGGATTTTGAAATAGAGACAAAAGGGTACTCTGAGATAGAGATGTTGTGAGCTTCCAAGATGTGAATGATAGCCATACCATAAGTCAAACTGGTGGGATCATCAGCACTTTCTATCATGAAATTTATGACCAAGAGGATAATTTAATCTTGATTTTGGTCACAAGACCGTAAACAATAAAGGTATCTCGTTGAGAGAAGGTGGAGAATGATCCAGTACGAGGAAGAAGAGTGGTTGTAACAATGTGGGCTAGAACTCGGGTTTCAAAGCTAACATCAGTGGGACTTAACTAGTTAAGGAGGAAGTTAGATGGACACTCAGCAATACAACGTTTTGCTTGATCAAAAGAAATTTCAAAGTCATCAGGCCAAGAATTTTTGAAAAGCATGGAAAACCAGAGCACTTACATTGAAAAATTGAGTCGAACATGGCACAATCAAGAACAATGCGTTTACCTAAGACTAGGGATTCCAACTTGTCAGACTTGCTAGAGCGAAGTTTTGAATAAAACATTCTCACTAAGGGTTCATAGTCTTTAGGAGGGGGGATAGAGAGGAATTTTGACCATCTTGGAAAAACAAAAAGATTCTTTACCTTATAATTTAGGGCTTCCATGTCGTCAAGGTCGACTACTCTGCCATGAGCAATCGGCTGGTCTTTCAGAGCAACGAAGAAATCCCTGTTTGGGGTATCCCAAAAATTGAGGTCTGACTCTAGAGAACTTGAAAGGTCTATTTTGGATTTTTTTGGGGTAAAGGATTCATGGGGATCTTCCAATGGCCTTTTTACTAGGGCTTTTTCTCCTAAGTGATGAGAGTGATTTGAAAGTTCTTCCTGAGAAGAGGCGAATCCTTCTGAGTGGTCGGACCCTAGGTCTACTTGTTCTGGAGGCTAAGAAAATGGTTTTCCTCCGGAACGAGTACTTTTACTGGTGGAGGCAGAAGTATTTTTATAGTGTTTAGCCATGGAAGAAACTATTTGGAGAGAGAGGTTGAAGGATTCCTGAAGAGGGTTTATGAGCGATAGAAATGATGGAGACTGAAAGAAGTGGTTCGGAGATTAAAAAGGGAATTCTGACGGTTGAGTACAAGAAAGGAAAGGGTGTCAGTGAAAAGTCATGATGATTGGTTTTCCTTTCTTGAAAGCTGAAACTGATGGGACAAGCGATGGAAATCAGAAGCGCTACATTAATGAGTATAAACAGGCAAAATTAAGACATTAGGCATACAAGAATTAAAAATATCACATAGGTCCTAATATTTATGATCAAGAGAAATAATTTCAAGTAGTTCTCTTAGAGAACAAAATCTATCTTCAAGTAAAGGCTTAGTGAAAATATCTGCTAATTGATCAGTAGTGCCAACAAATGATAATTCTATATCTCCCTTAAGGACATGATCTCTAATGAAAAGATGTTTAATGTCTATATGCTTAGCCCTAGAGTGATGCATAGGATTCTTTGAAAGACATATAGCACTAGAGTTATCATAAAATATTTGAATAGGTTTAAAGAATAGTTCATAGTCACCCAATTGATGAGACATCCATAATAACTGTGCACAACATTGTCCAATGGCGATATATTCAGCCTCCGTTGTGTATAGTGCAACTGATCCTTGTTTCTTACTGTTCCAAGATATTAGTTCTTCTCCAAGTAATTGACATGTTCCGTCGGTGCTTTTTCTGTCTTCCTTATCACCTGCAAGATCAGCATTTGAAAAACCTTCTAGTTTAAAATTTTTAGAGCGTGGTACCATACTCCGTAAGAAGTAGTTCCAATGAGATAACGAATTATTCTCTTTACGACAGTCAGATGTGACTCCTTTGGAGCTGATTGAACCCGTAATCAAGTAGGAATAAGCTAAGTCTTTCGTACCATGCTCGTGGAGCTTGTTTAATTCCATACAATGCTTTGGTCAACTTATACACATAATAGGGGAACTTTGAGTCTTCAAATCCAGGAGGTTGTTTTATATATACCTCCTCCTCAATGAAACCATTTAAGAAAGCACTTTTGACATCCATATGGAAAAGCCTAAATCTTTTGAAAGATACGTATGCAAGAAGAATTCGTATTGACTCCAGTCGAGCTACTGGAGCAAAGGTTTCATCGTAGTCGACTCTTTCCTGTTGTGTGTACCCTTGAGCTACTAATCTGGCTTTGTTTCTCACAACCTTTCCATCCTCATTAAGCTTATTTCTGAAAACCCATTTTGTTCAAATTACATTAGCGTCTGCAGGCTTGGGCAGTAGTTTCTACACTTGATTTTTGTCAAATTGATCCAGTTCTTCCTGCATTGCTTGTACCCAGATTGAGTCTTTTAGAGCTTCCTCTATTTTCTTTGGTTCAATCTGAGAAATCAGTGCTATATTTGCCTTCTTCTTGAGAGCTCCCCTGGTTTTCATTCCTTCGCTTGGGTCTCCTATAATAAACTTTTGAGGATATTCTGGTTCACTTCTCCATTCATTTGGACGTTTTCCACTTGTGAGTAATTGACTCCTTCTGTGATTCTGATTGACTGTTGCTAATCTCATTAGTTGACTCTGTGACACCATCAGGCCTGTTAGTCGACTCTTGAGATTTGCTTGACTTGGGAGTTTCTTGAATTTGATCTTCATCACCAGCAATAATTCCTTTGTCGGCCATAGTGTTATTTTCATCAAATATAACATGTACTGATTCTTCTACAGATAGAGTGCATTTATTATAAACCTTAAAAGATCTACTATTTACGGAATAACCTAGAAAATACCTTCATCACTTCTTGGATCAAATTTTACAAGATTGTCCTTACCATTATTATGGACGAAACACTTGCTCCCGAACGGGTGGAAATAACTTATATTGGATCGTTTACCTTTCCATAGTTCATATGGAGTTTTCTTCAGGATAGGTCTTATTAGACATCTGTTGGGAATGTGACAAGCTGTGCTTACTCCTTCTGCCTAAAAATGATTTGGCAAGGAATATTCTAGTATCATAGTTCTCGCCATATCTTACAGAGTTCTATTTTTCTGCTCAACTACTCCATTCTGTTGAGGTGATCTTGGAGCTGAGAAATTGTGGGTGTATCCTTGATCATTGCAGAAGTCTTCGAATGCTCTTCTTTCAAATTCTCTTCCATGATCGCTTTGAATGGTTGTAATAAGATACCCTTTTTCTCTTTCAACTCTTTTACAGAAGATCTCAAAGTTTTTCAAAGCTTCATCTTTGTAAGATAGAAAAATCACCCATGTAAATCGTGAGTAGTCATCAAAAATAACAAAAGCATATCATTTTCCTCCTATGCTAGCAGTTCTAGTGGGTCCAAACAAGTCCATATGAAGATATTGCAAAGGCTTTGATGTAGACACAATGTCTTTGTTTTTGAAAGAGTTTCTGGTTTGTTTACGAATTTGACATGCATCACATATATGATTTCTAGAAAAATTGAGTTTAGGGAGACCAATAACTATATCATGCTTGGAGAGTTTCTCTAAAAGATGCATGCTTGCATGACCAAGTTTCTTATGCCATAACCATGGATCATCAGATATGGATGTTAAACAAATATGACCATCTAGATTTTCAAAACCATCAAGAATATAAACATTTCTATATCTGTTTCCTGGAGGATTGTTTTACCTATTTCATCTTATAGCACATCCTGTTTTCTTGAACTTTACTTCATACCCTGAGTCGCATAGCTGACTTATACTCAGAAGATTGTAGTTGAGTCCATCTACAAGATAAACTACAGTAATATTACTGTTGTTATTGAATGGAACTGTGCCAATGCCGACTTATTTTCCTTTTGAGTCATCACCAAATTTAACATTTTCTCCGTCTATCTTTGTGACTTCTTTGAACAGGTTTTTTTCACCTGTCATGTGACTGGAACACGCCTATCTAAGTACCATTTTCCTTTGCGGCTCTTTTAGTGGTGTTCTTGCAAAACATAATTATCACTTCCTTTTAGGTACTGAAGCTTGCTTGGGTCCTTTTTGGTTAGTATTACTAAGATCAAGGTTGTTTTGGGGTTTACAAATCCACCCCGAAATATTAGATTTACGAAATCGACAAAAGGAATATTTATGTCCACTTTTATTACAGAAGTGACACATAGGTCCTGATCCATTCTTGGATCTTCCATTTGTGTTAATACTAGTGGAACTATTGAGTTGCATTTGCAATTCCTGAAACTCATCTTGAAGTACCTCTTTTTCAATTTCGCATACTTCAAGGTTAAGTTCCCGGTCTTTCTTTTCTCTGTTAATTCTCTTTAGTTCATTCATCATTTTTTGAGACTCTTTTAGAGTAAGGTCAAGAATTTCTTGCAATTCATTACATCTTTCACAATTGTAAGATCTTACCTCGCTTGTTTCACCTCGTGCCATGAAATAGTTCTCATTATTGTCTTTGCATTCATTTTCTGATGCATCTTCATCTGTCCAGCACCCTGAGAGTTTGTTCATGTCGTTTTCCAGGATTGCCATGAAGCATAGATTTGCTATCTCTTCATGTTCTGAACTGTCTTCATCACTCCAGTTTCCAAATGATTTGTTCTTGTTAAATCCTCTGGAAACCTTTCTTTTAAGATCTGGGCATTCAGCTTGAATATGCCCATATCTTCCACACTCATAGCATTTTCTGTCATTTTTATCTTGTTCATTATATTGCCTGGTTTGTCTGGGTGTTATCCAACCTCTTCTTGTGTTTCTGTATCTCCTCATTTGACCATCCATGTACCATGGCAAGCTCTTCTTTAAGAGCTTCAGGGTCGTCATCAATATCATTGTCTGTCCTTTTAGTTGTAGCTTTCTAGGCGACTGTTTTCTTCTTTTCTTCCAGGCTTGTTTTCTTGAGGTGAGTTTTCTTGAATGCTATAATGTCTCCTCGAAGCTCATCGTAAGAAAGTTTATTCGGATCTTGTGATTCAAGTGCAACTACCTTTGTCTGCCAAGTGGTAGGTAGACTTCTCAGAATTTTCTGAACTTGATCACCACTTGAATATGGTCTACCAAAAGCTTTTAGATCGCTAACAATTTTGCTGAACTTCACAAACATTTCTTCAATGGATTCTCCTTCTTTTATTTGAAAAAGTTCGTAGTCATGAACCAACATGTTGATGTGGGTCTCCTTCACTTTACTGGTTCCTTCATAAGTAACTTCCAATTTATCCCACATTTCTTTCGGTGTATCACAACTAGAGATTTTCTCATATTCCTCTCCACTTATAGCATTATATAGTAAGTTTCTTGTTTTAGCATTGACTTGAACAACTGCCATTTGTTCATTTGTGTATTCATCTATATCTTATGGATCAGCAGGTGGTTGAGCAGTTATTGGTAGTGGATAGTTCCCCTTTTTGATAACTCGCCAAACTTTGACGTCATAGGACTTTGCATATATTTCCATACACACTTTCCAGTGAGAAAAGTGTTTTCTATTGAAATACGGTGGCCTGACTTGCGATGTTCCTTCTTGAAAGAATGCTCCAACAATAACTTGATTTGCCATGATCTTTTCTCACAAGTTGTTAAGCAAAAAGTGTGAGACTAGCTCCAATACCAATTGAAAGTACAGGGGGGAGGGTGAATTGCTTATTTTTAAAAACTTTTATAAGTAGTTGACTAGTTTACCAATTAGTCGACTTGAAATAAGAACATGATAAAAATAAATACGGAAATAAAATGCAGAAAATAGAGACACCCGAATTTTTATATTGGTTCGGATTCAATGTGAATCCTAGTCCAGTCCCCTTGGGTTGCAAGGGTGTTCTCTTTTAGTGGTCGATGTTTCTTGAGTACAGAATGAATGGTGTAGCTTTGCACCAACAGCTTAGTCTTTATGTCTTTTTTCCTTTCTTGATGCAATGCCTCACCAGTATTTATCTCTTTTTCTTCTCTCACTAATTACACAGCAGATCTAAAGGAACTACAATGCTTGCTTGGAGTAGAATAAAAAAAGGGTAGATGATTCGATCAAAGTATGTGTTGTCATGTCAGGAGCATCTGTATATATACTTTTCATGAGGCCTTGAAGAATCTTGAGAGATTGCAAACCCAAGGGAGTTGATCCTTGAAAGGAATCATAAATTGATTCTTTCCAAGAATAAGGTCAAGTTCAAGTTGATCTTCCTTGATTAATGGTTTTGACAAGCTTTCCATCCACTAGGCATATCCGCTAGATCCTTTGATTTCCGGCTTCATTGATTTTCAGCGATCTCGATTCCCTTTGATTTGGGACCTTCCAGTAATAGCTTCCGTCAATCTATGATTGATTTCTCTTGCCAGATTTCCGCTACTTTTTCCTTGTTGATCATAGATTCTTTTCCTTGTTAGCTTCCGTCAATCTTTGATTGATTTATTCTTGCCGGATATTCAGTGCTTCTTCCTTTTTTATCGTTGATCATTGATTATGTTCCTTGATCTATTCCTCACCAGTGCTACTTCTTTAATCCCTTTAATTTATTCCTTGTGATCCTACATCAAATGTAATATATTATTTTTCATCATTGAAACTTATAACTAACAGTTAAGGTATGGCTGAGGGCCGATAGGTGTTGTTCGAGCTGGGTCAAACTTAACCTTTCGTTAAGGTGCAACCGATGGCTGATAGGTGTTGTTTGAGCTGGGTCGAACTTAACCTTTCGTTAAGGTCTGGTCGTGGGCCGATAGGTGTTGTTCAAACTTGGTCGAACTTAAACTTTTTCTAAGGCAGTTTTGATAAATGTAAGTTTCTTACTTTTGACGTTGTTGCTCTGATTACATAATTGAAGAAAGTTACAAACATTTGGCATTGGCTGGCATCCCAGTCCTAATCCTGGTGTATCTAGTCCCTTTATTATTCGACATGGAGAGTATTGAGGATTCAGGCAATGAAAGAGAAACCGCTCCCTTCTTTGCATACTTTGACACGAAATGCCCCTTTCGTCGCCTCATTAAAAACCTCCTTGAGAAAACCCTAATGGGACAAAACTCAAGTGAGGGAAAAAGAGTACAACTTGGGGGCACTTCTTCATTTAAGAAGTTGAAGTTTTTGAGGTGGATGATGTTCCATTTGTTCGATAATTTTTTTCCTTCCATTGGTTGTAGTTAGAATGATCCCTTGTTTGATTTGGGTATAATTTTGTATGGACCATCCCATTTCGTTCCCTGCCTTTTTGTGGATCTCCACTTGCTTGGCTTTTGTCCTTGAGTACGTAGTCTCTGACTTTGAGCGTCCAAACCTTTGCCTTCTTGTTATAGTAATGTTCCGCTTGCTACTTTTGGCCGACCATCCTTATGTACACCATATCTCTTTGTTTGTCCAAAACATCGAGCTCTTGCCTTCATCATTGCTAGTGCCACTTTAATGGGAGTACATAGGTTAGGCTCTTCGACCTTGACTTGTATAACTACTTCGGTTCCGTAGACCAGATAATAGGGCGTTTCTCCTGTGCTTGTCTTCGGGGTGGTTCTATACGCCCACAATACTTCTGGAAGTATTTTCGGCCATAGTCCCTAGGCGTCTTCGAGTTTTTTCTTCATGATGTTTAATATGGACTTGTTGGAGGATTTTTCCTGCCTGTTACCCGCTCGATGATAAGGGTTTGAAAGTATCCTCTTGATACGCCATTTCTCAAGGAATTCGACGGTTTTCTTTCTCGTGAAATAGGGTCTGTTGTTGCAGTTGATCTCTTTGGGTAGGCCGAATCGGCAGATGATGTTTTTCCAAATGAAGGAGATTACCTTTTGTTCGCATATTTGGGCGAACGCTCCTGCTTTCACCCATTTAGAGAAATAGTTAGTTAAATCTAAAAGAAATCGTACATTACCTCACCCTGCTTGGAGGGGGCCCGCAATGTCCATTCCCCACTTGATGAACAGTCACGGAGAGGTGACTGAGTGGAGATGTCTGCCTGCTTGGTGAATTATTGGGGCGTATTTCCAACATTGTTTGTATTTCTTCACAAATTTTGAGGTATATTTTTTCATGGTAGACCAATAGCATCCTGCCCGTATAAGACACCTAACGAGCGCTTGATCATCGAAATGAGCGCTGCAATGGCCTTTATGAACTTCTTCAAGGACGCTGGGTTTTGTTTGGACCTAAACACTTTGCTAGAGGGCCGCCGTATATCCTCTTGTAAAAGTCGTTATGGAGGAGGTTGTATCTAGCTGCCTGCATTCTTAGTTTTATGGCTTTCTTTTTGTTGTTTGGGAGTGTGCCATCTTGCAAGTAGGTGATAATACAATTGTGCCATTCCCAAGTTAAATTTATAGATCTTACCTTAATTTTGTCCAACGACGAGTTGAGGAGGTAGACTACACTTTTATCCCCGGTTGTGATGCATTTGGTGGCTGCGGTCAATTTAGCGAGGCCGTCCGTTTCAACATTCTAGGCATGCGGGATCTAGTCTAGCTGGCATTCGTCTAACTTGGGCTGCAGCTTACGGATCTCAGTCTGATATTTTTGCAATCTTTGTTCTTTGATTCGAAAAGTCCTTGTGAATTGGTTGACTACGAGCTGTGAATCACAACGGAGCTTTAACCGCTTCGCCCTGTACTTGAGTGCTAGTCTCAATCTTGTAATAACGGCCTCATACTCAGCCTCGTTGTTAGTCATATCTGGGCATCTTATGGACTGGAAAATTATTTTACCAGAAGGGACCTCGAGTGTGAGTCCTAGTCCGGATCCAGAAGCATTGGATGCGCCATCAGTGTATAGGACCAAGAGGTCTTGTGTTTGGAGATAAGCTTGGATGTCTTCCTTTTCGACCTCAGGCATTATCTTTACGCTGAAGTCTGCGATGAAATCAGCAAGCACTTGCGACATTATCGTTGTTCGTGTCTGATATATGATATCGTGCTCGCTTATTCGATGGCCCACTTGGCCATCCTCCCCGACAATTTGGGTCTATGTAAAATGCTCTTTAGAGGAAAGGTCGTAATGACCGAGATAGGGTGGCACTGAAAATAGGGTCTAAGCTTTCGTGAAGCTATGACTAGTGTCAGGGCTAGTACCTCGTCTCGATGTCGACGAGTGTTTTGCTAATGTAATAAATGGGAGATTGCGTACCTTTACTTTCTCGGATCAAGACTGCACTTACTGCCACTTCAAAGACAGCGAGGTAGACAAGAAGGTGTTCCCTGGGTTCGGGCTTCGAGAGCAGAGGTGGTGGCGGTAGATACGCCTTTAGTTCTCGTAGAGCTTGTATGCAATCGGGCGTCCACTCAAGGTCGTTATCTTTTTGGAGCACGCCAAAAAATTTGTTACATCTATCAGATGACCGCGAGATAAATCTTGATAGGGCGGCGATTCAACCAGTCAACCTTTGGACTTGCTTCTTAGTAGTCATTTGCTCTGGTATCCCTTCGATAGCTTTGAATTGGTCCGGATTGACTTCAATCCCTCGTTGTGACACTAAGAAACCCAAAAACTTCCTAGAGTCTATGCCAAATGCGCATTTCTCTAGGTTTAGTTTCATTCTGTACTGTCTCAGTAGGTCGAAAGCTTCCTTCGAATGGTCGATATGGACCTCCACCCTTACGGATTTGACCAGCATTTCATTAATATATACCTCCATGGTCTTGTCAAGCTGATCTTTGAACACTTCTGTGACCAATCTTTGATAGGTGGATCCTGCGTTCTTCAACCCAAATGGCACGACCTTGTAAAAATATGTTCCTTGGTGGGTGATGAACGTGGTTTTCTCCTGGTCCTCTTCCTCTATAAGTATCCGGTTATAGCCCGAGTACACGTCTAGGAAACTCAGCAGATCATGTCCGACTGTTGCGTCGATGAGTTGGTCAATATGTGGAAGCAGGAATGAATCCTTCGGGCACGCTTTGTTTAAGTCTGTGAAGTCTACACACATCCTCCATTTCCTATTTTTCTTTCACCATTACTATGTTGGCGATCCACATAGGGTATTTTGACTCCCCGATGGAGCCATTTGTTAATAGCTTCTCCACTTCCTCGTGGATAGCATCATTGATGTCGAGGTTGAATTTTCGTCTAACCTGCCTTATCGGGAGATAGAATGGATCGACGTTCAATTTGTGTGTGGCGATCTCCTTGGGGATGCCTGGCATATCTGCATGGCAAAAGGCAAATAAATATGCGTAAGTTATTAAAAATTAGCTAAATTTACCTGATTCTCAGAGTTTGCAGCCGATGTAGGTCTTTTTGCTGGAGTTGTTGGGATCTAATTGAACGGGGTTGAGGTCCTCTATGGTCGAGTTGGCGGCTTCGACCATTTCGGGTCCATGATGACGTCCCTGGTTTCTTCTTGCATCGACCTCGACCGTGTTGATGCTATGCCTCTTTTTCGTTTTCTTTTTATTGGGTTGTCGTGCTATCCAAGGCGATACGGTAGCATTAGCGGGACGTGCACTGTTCTCCCTGTATGTTAAATATCCCCCAAGGTGTTGGGAACTTGATCACTTGGTATAGGCTGGAGGGGACGACGCTCATGGGATGATCCATGGTCGTCCTACTTTGGCATTGTATGCAGTGGTCTGGTCCATGGTGTGGATTGTTATCTCCAGAGTTATACCGCCGGCCAAGACAGGGAGTGTGATTTCACCCGATGTCCATTCAGCTGCATTATTAAAATCGTTTAGTGTGATGTAATGTGGCACTATCTTGTCCTCGAGTCTCATCTGGGCGAGGATTCGGGGATGGATAATGTACATCCACTCCCATCGTCTACCATGATACGGTTGACATCAGTATCTAAAATTTGTAAAGTAATAACGAGAGCATCATTGTGAGGGAAAGTCAAACCGTCGGCATCTGACTCATCGAAGATGATTCTTTCTTCGAGTATATCATACCGTTCGTGGGTGATAGATCTTTTGAGCTTGTGAGTGGCACTGACTCTAACACCTTTGATAGAGGCATCATCGCTACCGCCAATGATCACATTGATTTTACGAGCCGGTGATGGTGGCTTCGGTGGGCCTTGATGTTCACGACCTTTGGCGAAGTTGTTCCTCCCCTTATTGCTTAAAAACTCTTTGAGGTGTCCGTGTTGCAACATGTTCACAACCTCTTGCCTGAGGGAGATGCAGTCTTCTGTCTTGTGTCAGTGTTCCTGGTGGAAATCGCAAAGGGTGTCGGATTTTCTGGTGCTCGGGTCGGACCTCATTTTTGGCGGCCACTTCACTTTTCGTTCCGAGTTTCTCCAAGGCATAGACTATTTCTGTAGGTGACACACAAAAATTGCGAGCAGACAACAAGTGGGCATACCTCTCTCATTCCGGTAAGTCCCCATCCTCGGCCTAGATAGGCCATCATCATAGCGCAAGGAAGACGGGGTTCGGGCCCTGACGTATGGCTGATGTCGTTCCCTATTTGGCTGTGAGACTGGGTGATCCCTACTTATGTTATCTCTTCATTCTTTTCTGGGCTTGGCGTGTACTGAGATGAGCCACCGAGTTGGTCTGTTAAGGTCGTCATCATCTGCTCAAACTTCGGCGCAGTAAGCATTATGGATTTCGTTCCAAGTGGTTGGGGGTACTTCATCAGTTGCCTCAGCAGCTTTTTGGTCGCTCTTGAACCCTCTCTACTCAACCCATTCTAAAAGGCTGCGACTGTCATCCCTTCAGACATATTTGGTAAGGTCATCCTTACCCGGTAGAATCGGGCGAGGAAGTCTCTTAATCCCTCTCCTAGGGATTGCCTAACAACGAAGATGTCGTTTATTGTTGTTTCGGCTTTCTTGGCCCTGACATGTGCCGTCACAAACTTGTCGGCCATTTCTTCGAAGGTTTCTATGGAGCGGGCTAGTAGTTGTGAATGCCATATTAACGCCCCTCCAATGAGGGTTTCGCCAAAAATTTCCAACAAAATAGAGGACACTTGTTCCTTGGTGAGATCATTGCCCTTTACGGAGGTGAAGTAATGAGTCACGTGATATTCGAGTTCGGTTGTTCCGTTGTATATCCTGAGATACAGTGGCATTTTCAAGGTTTTTGGTATGGAGTGTGGCATTGCTCCCTCACTGTACGGTTGCTCGACGAACCTGTTGGCGTCCCTCTTTGGCAGTAGTTTGGGGGCACCCGATATCATTTCGACCTGTCCTTGGTAATCTTTCATTTGGTCTCTGAGAGCTTTGTTTTTATTCTCCATTTCTTCTATTCTCTTCAGAACAACGGCGAGGATGTTGTCATCTGCACTGTAAGTAACATTCTGAGTTATACCTGACCTTGGAAGGTCCGGTTAGTCGCCCTATTCATTTGCTTGTTGTACCGTGTGAGCTCCTGCGGTCTCCATGGTCGTGCATGGAGCTTGTTTGTTGAGCATGCTCACTAATGTATCGGTCAACCACGCTTCGAGGAGCTTTTTCATGGTCGGTGGCATCCCTTCTCCTGTGGACGTGGAAGCCCTTTTTCCATTTGGTCTTGTTGTGCTACAATTGGGGGGGTGGCGACCTCTCGCGCCTAGGAGAGGCAGTTGGCATCGCATCATCGTCCAGCGTTTCATAACTCTCGTTGATGGTGTTCATGAGGTTTCCTGGGATGTCACCTGTCACTTTAGTCTTGTCTCCTTGATTACCTGCCATGTAAATTTTCGTACGTGCAGAGAACTAGAAAAACCTTGAGGTTTGTTAGGTTAGCAACTCAGGTGAGTTGTAGATCTGAAGGAAACCAAAAGATTAAGAAGTCCCCACAGTCGACGCCAAACTGTTTGACCCAAAATTTAGATCGGGGTTCAACCAATTAGATTTAAATAAAATATAGTCACTCTTAGCCAATATTAATATGTATTAACTGATTTTGTAATAAAATAATATGTGTGTTCGACCGAATGGCAATAAATGTGAACAATGCTAATAATATTTAATGACTCAAAAGGAGGAGGATAGTGTTAACAAACAATAAATAGCAATGAATGACATTTAAGTAATTAAGAGCATATGAGTCACCTGAAAAGGGGTGAGATCTGTGGATATTCCTTCTGACAATAGTGAATGATTGATGAGCCTTCGAACATTCAGGTTGTTCTTGGATCAAGGGAAAAAGTTAGGCAACAATCTTAGTAAAATGGTATTTTTCGTGTGCTTGCAATAAGGCCAGATTCTTTCTATCAAGTCAATGTGTTTTCTTACAAGTGAATATCTTATGTCCCCTATCATTGTGTCTCTTTCTATTTATATGGAACACATACGTTAAACCCCCTAATAGTACAGGTACAGAGCATATCCACTAGAATATTTTCTTTTGTGTCTTATCCTAAAACTAGCCGTTATAACTTTGTCTAAGATGCTCAACCTCGACCTTGGTCTTCACTGACTCTTTGACCGCACCCCTCATCTCTTAAGGGGCCACTTCGACTTTGGGCAGGTCTTTATTGAAGTCGTACTGATAACAGGTGGCACTCATTGAAGGCTCTCTTGATACTGACGTGCCTCACTTATATCAAATATGATATTTGGCCCATACATAGATAAGCATTAATGTTATGCTTCTTCACTAAATCTCACTCAGGCCTAGCGTAGCAAAAAGGTGGAATACTTTGTTCATATTTGAAAAGAATGATTGGATACCATACTCTCACTCTGTCTAACATCTGAAAGTTGGCATTGAAATAGTTTTTACCCCAGATTTTAACCTTTGAATAGCTATAGTCCTCTTGGTTGTTCCCAAAATCAAGATCCCTATAATTGAGACAGGTAGTTGTTGGTGATTTTGCAACATTCTTGGATTTCTCTTTTCGTTTTTCTTTGGGGAGGGGGTGGGGGTGGGGGGGGGGGGGTGGGGATTGCACAGATAGCAGATTTTGGGGCGTCATTTCAGGTATAGCCGAAGTGTATAAATTTTTTAATTTTAACAACTTTTTATAACATAAATTCAAACATAGCAACTAAAGTTAGACATTTAATCTAAAATTCAAACGTATGCGACTAAAGTTTTGGATTGAAAGTCTCACACTTCATACATGTATGTTTGATGTTTGAATTACCAATATCTGAAGTTTCAAACATATATATTCCAAACTGAGAGTAGTTTATTTGAAGTTTGAACAGATGTTTTAAAAGGCGAGGGCGTGAGACGGGGCGTTTTACCTCTGACGAGGCGAAGCGTAAGCCCTGAGACATGGGGCGTAAGTCCCACGGATATTTAAATTTTACTAATTTCAAATATTTTAAGATAGTATAAAATAAAAAATAATTACAAAAATTATATTAAAATCATAAAATTATAATAAATAATCTATTTAAAATATTTACAAATTATAATTCAACTATGAATAATACGAAAAGTATAACATATATTGTAATGTATCCGATACGAAATCTTATTGTATCTCTGAAGGAGTAATGAATCTTGAAAGAATTTCGATATTATAATTTAATATTTTTCTTAAAATACTCGTTTTATTTAACATGCTTTCTATTTGAAAGAGAATTTATATAAAAACATAATTCACAATTTAAATATGATTCTCTAGCATCATTTATTTTTATTTCAACAAGTTAATAAAGTGACACATAATTCAGCATACAATACCATGATAACTAATTATTCGTAAATAGTTACTAGCTAATACTGAGCTATTAAATTAATAAGTATTGTATCTCGTAAACGTTAAAAAAAATATTTAGAAAAATAATTACTATATTTATGGACTACTATTATATAGTAAAGACATAACAAAAGTTAATAAATAAATACTTTTTAAATGAAAGATTTATTTAAAATTAACTATCATAGCAATCTTAATGGATAACATGCAATAATTTTTATTTTAATTATGACATAAAATACTCTCAACTTAATAATTTATGATTAAGAAAAAAGTAATCTTGAATAGTCAATGATTTATTAAGAAAATTTAAGGATTTACAAGGTTAGTTATATACAATTGCATAAAGTTCTATTAGACGAGCCTAGAACGCTGGGCGTTGGTGTGTCCGGGGCGTACGCATTGATGGCCGAGGCGTAAGTCTTACGGAACTAAGCCCCACACATAAGCCCAGGGGCGTTTTACGAGTGCTCCGCCCCGGGGCGAGTCCCAATCCTGCCTTTTAAAACAGAGCTTTGAACTACCATTCTTCATCACTGCTAATGTTTCAAAGCTTTTCCAATAACATCCACTTAGTTTAAACTCACTTTTTAAATTCGACATTTAAGACCCGCTTCTTTAATTTTTCATTTTTTATTTTATTTTTAAGACCCGCTTCTTTAAGCTTGCAACAATGGTAATTTTTAAATGGTACTTTAAGTTTCTTTGCTACAGTAATCTGTCTAAATTCGACCAACTTATCATTGTTTAGAAGTGAACGAATTACATTACACCCAAATGACAAAAAAACTGCCGAATCAAGAAGCAAACAACTACTGTAGCGATATAGTGAAAATGAAGCCAATTCGTTATTTAATTCTTGAATGGTGTTTGTATATTGATTTTGTCTGTATATATATATTTGGGGCTATTAGTACAGCATTTGTGGTAAAGGAGACAAAATAAGAAAAAGAAAAAGCGGAGGACGAGTTGTTTAATAAGTTTGCCTATACTGACTATAATTAAATATTTTGAAAACGACAAATGGCCAAATATATTCTTGTACAATAAGAAAAGTTCATATATATCCTTCGTTATGTTAGGTGTTTGCCATAATTTTCTTATTATATTTAGTTTTTCTATCTCTTGAAGAAAAATGGCAATATAATTACCTTAATTGGGTTTTCCTTTTTGTAAAAGGAAATTATAAATCTCCAATATTTGGCTAGTCCTTTTTCTTGTAGGAAAATATTTGGACTTCTATAATGAGACTCTTCCTCTCATTCAGTAGCATCCACAATGTAGCCATAGGGGGCTTGGGAGTCTTGTTTAGGGGGAGAACTTTACGGGACAAGTGTTAGTGTGCCACTTGTGAGTGCCTCTTTGTGAGGTTGTTCTCTCGATATTTTGTACTCTTTTTTATATAGTGGATTGCTTATCTCCGCCGTGGACGTAGGTCAGTTGACCGAACCACGTTATATGTTTGTGTCTCTTTTGGTATTTCTCTTTCGTTGATGGATTTATCGTCGTTCA